TACATTAGGCACGCGACAGGAGTGATATGTGACACTGCTATTGTTTTCTATCATCGTTGTTGTTCTTCTTTTACTTCATCTTTTTCTTCATTTTCTTTCTCTTCTTATTCGTGTTCTTCTTCGTCTGCAACTGCTACTGTTGTTGCTGCTGCTGCTTCTTCTTCCTCTTCTCTTTGTCAACGCTGACGTCGTCATATTCATTATCACTGTCATCATACTAACCATTAAGTCCTCTCAGTAAAACAAAGCTATAAAAAATATATATAAACAGGAAACATGACGGCTGACCAAAAAGCTACAGTTTGTGTCGTAGAACAAAGACGTATAACTTCAGATGCTCTTAAATAGCAGATAACAAATTTATAACCAGAACCATGCAGCTAAACTTTAAGCCGTTTATAATGTTGAAATATTACGGTTCGACATAGTAATCTTGAAATGTTACGGTTCGACAAAGTTATTTTGAAATGTAACGGTTGGCATAGTAATCTTGAAATGTTACAGTTCGGTGTAGTAATCTTGAAATGTTACGGTTCGACATAGTAATCTTGAAATGTTAAGGTTTGGTGTAGTAATCTTGAAATGTTACAGTTCAGTGTAGTAATCTTGAAATGTTACAGTTCAGTGTAGTAATCTTGAAATGTTACGGTTCGACATAGTAATCTTGAAATGTTACGGGTCGACATAGTGATCTTAAAATGTTACGGTTCGGTGTAGTAATCTTTCACTATCCTCCGCATAACGGGTACATATTAAGGCGGCCAAACACAGGGCCTAAGGCACATGTAAATTGCGGACTTCGGGCGACTTAATTTGAGCACTTCCGGCGACTACCGTCACCGCCGAGGGTATCTCTATGCCGCTACGTGCGGCGTGGATTGTGGCTAAACTAGATGGCTGGGACTCACAAGCAAAGCTGCAGGAGATGCGGAAGCTGCTGCTCGTAAGTCCCACGAGTAGCGGCGTGGGAGATACCCTCGGCGGTGACGATAGTCGCCGGAAGTCCATAAATTAAGTTGCCGGAAGTCCGCAATTTACATGTGACTGAGGCCCTGTGTTTGGCCGCCATAATATGTGCCCGTTATTCGGAGGATAGCCAAAGATTACTACACCGAACCGTAACATTTAAAGGTCACTATGTCGAACCGTAACATTTCCGAAAATTAAGTCGCCAGAAGTGTGCAATTGACATGTGACTGAGGCCCAGTTAGGGTGTTTTTGCGGCCGCCATAATATGTGCCCGTTATTCAAAGGATAGCTTAATCTTTAAATATTACGGTTCGACATAGTTATCTTAACATGTTACGGTTCAGCGTAGTAATCTTGAAATGTTACGGTTCGACGTAGTTATACTGAAATGTTACGGTTCGACATAGTAATCTTGACGTAGTTATTTTGAAATGTAACGGTTGGCATAGTAATCTTGAAAAATTACGGTTCGACATAGTAATCTTGAAATGTTACGGTTCGGCATAGTAATCTTGAAATGTTACAGTTCGGCGTAGTAATCTTGAAACGTTAAGGTTCGATGTAGTAATCTTGAAATGTTATGGTTCGACGTAGTTATACTGAAATGTTACGGTTCGACATAGTAATCTTGAAAAACTACGGTTCGGCGTAGTAATCTTGAAATGTTTAGGTTCGATGTAGTAGTCTTGAAATGTTACGATTCGATGTAGTTATATTGAAATGTTACGATTCGACATAGTAATATTGAAAAGTTACGGTTCGGCATAGTAATCTTGAAATGTTACGGTTTGGCGTAGTAATCTTGAAACGTTAAGGTTCGATATAGTAATCTTGAAATGTTACGGTTCGACGTAGTTATATTGAAATGTTACGGTTCGACATAGTAATCTTGAAATGTTACGGTTTGGCGTAGTAATCTTGAAATATTACGGTCTGGCGTAGTAATCTTGAAATGTTATGGTTCGACGTAGTTATATTGAAATGTGACGGTTCGGCATAGTAATCTTGAAATGTTACGGTTCGGCGTAGTAATCTTGAAATGTTACGGTTCGGCGTAGTAATCTTGAAATGTTACGGTTCGACGTAGTAATATCGAAATGTTACTGTTCGACATAGTAATCTTGAAATGTTTCGGTTCGACATAGTAATCTTTAATGTTACGGTTTGGCGTAGTAATCTTTGAATGTTACTTTTCGGCGTTGTAATCTCGAAATGTTACCGTTCAGCGTAGTGATATTGAAACTTTACGGTTTCCGTGTAGTATTTTGAAATGTTACTATTCGGCATAGTAATCTTGTGATGTTACGGTTCCATTTTGAAGATAACTGCCTTCCCTATCCTAATCTCCTGCGCTTAAATCTCACAGGTATGTTAATTTAGTACCCTGGTTGCCAGGCAAAGAAAACTTGAAGATACTGCTTATCTACGGTCTATTGAAGTTTTAAGGCACCTAGTATACGCGATCTGACCTCTTCACAACTTCCTTGTGGCAGAGGTGCAGAAGCACACACAAAAACAAACATTCAGAGTGGTACCATGAATCTCAAGCTAGGCCTTGTTTAAGTGTGTAATGATGACGATGCTGATGTTGATGATAATGATGAACATAATGATGATGATAATGCGCTGAAGGGAAAATTACTATTTATTTGAAATAATATGAATTATGTAAACACATCCTCAACAGATAATTTCTAGACATAACCTGTAGAAGGGGATAATGTAGCACTTACAATGTATTTCTGGTCGGGGTGGGGCGGGGGGGGGGGGTAGACACACTAAGCTTTTATGGGGCCTTGAGGGGCCAAAGTCCCCAGCGGTCCTGCTCACGTTTCCCGGCCCATCAACACACTACCTGACCTTCCATTCATACTTTCTCAGACTCCTCTACTATGGAGGGCTGTCGTCGCATGTTCTATACAACAGGACGGCACAGCTTTTAACGACCATAGAACTTGTAGAACTGGCCCTAACCCAAACCACCCTACCCACAACCTCAGCCTAGGTCACACGAGAGACTCTTTTCGAAGAAAGCAGTTCAACGTGACACCCCTCTGAACTAGATCAGACCGAGAACGTGTGTAGATGGGCCGGGAAACTTGAAAAGATCCTTCCCAGGCTCCAGCGCCCCTGCCTTGCTATTTTCACCATTGATTTATCTCAGTGGGGGTAACGATACTAAGCCTACTTACGCCGTCTGAGCCGGACTTTAAAAAAAAAATGACATTGGCTCCCAGGTCGACCAAGCATTGAGTGGGTGCCAGGTGCAGTCCTGGGAAGTAAAGAGGGCCGGTGTGGTGCTGACCACATCACCTACCGAGTGCCGACTGGTCTTTAAAATATAGGTCTAGCCCTATATGCCCAATACGCTTGAAGGCGTGGAAAAGGGACCTTTACTTTACTCACATATGCCGTTTGCTAGTGAATCCTTCAGGCTTTTAAAATAGCATGAGATATGTATTTATAGGTACTGATCGACACTTATAGTAGGGACAGAAAATAATAAAATCATAAAAGCTTATCATATCCTTTACCGACTGACGTGGGTAACCACGCTTATCCACAATCTGCGATCTACAGCTGCGTTTATCAGTTCGCGAGTTGACACCCCACTATGTTATGACAAAACACTGTCAAGAATCTTCTCGCACGATCTTCCTCTGTATTTCTTTACCACAGATCTTTCCAGTGCTCACAGGATGTTCTAGTTTCTTTCTTCCCATAAAAAAAATGATGACTGTCTCTTTCTGATGTTTGTGATAAGTTGTCAAGCCCTTGCCTCTTTCAAAACATCTAGGTCTCCAATGAAGAATTCTAAGGATTCTTCTGTAAAACCACATCTCGGATACTTCAAGAAATTGTTTGGCTTTTTTATTAATTGTCCAGGATTCACAGCCATAAAAGAGTTAAAGGGCATAAACATTTCACTAACGGTACAATATGGTATCATTAATCAACACATAATAGGCGAGATCTGTCGCTTTACGCTTATGGTGTTATTGAGTAGGAGATCAGAGCACCTGTGGATTTATTTGTCTGGAGTGCTGTGATGATTGTTTTCACCAATCACTTTCTCGTTTGAGTTCCGAGGCCTCATTTTTGGGAGAAAATAATAAATTGCGAGGGAATAATAACAGACCCAGTACTTCCTAAAAATCATATAGTAAAAGGCGACTGGTTATGAATTTACTGAAATCGGATGTATTATGTTGTAAGGCACATATATCGCAGCTTAGCTGTAAACCACTATACATCGCCCCTTTTAAGCGCAAATCACTAGATATTATAAATAACGGAAAGCTATAGGTGTTCGATGATTTTAAGAGGTTCCACCTAATTATGATAGTGCCTGGGTGAAGGTCACCACATGACGGTAGTGCCTGGGTGAAGGTCACCAAATGACGGTATTGCCTGGGTGAAAGTTATCAAATGACCGTAGTGCCTGGATGAAGGTTACCAAATGACGGTAGTGCCTGGGTGAAGGTCACAAAATCACGGTAGTGCCTGATTGAAAGTTATCAAATGACGGTAGTGCCTGGGTGAAGGTCACCAAATGACGCCTTAGTGAAAGTTATCAAATGACGGTAGTGCCTGGGTGAAGGTCACCTGATGACGATAGTGCCTTGGTCAAGGTCACCAAATGACGGTTGTGGCTGGGTAAAGGTCACCAAATGATGGTTGTGTCTGGGTGAAGGTCACCAAATGACGGTAGTGCCTGGGTGAAGGTCACCAAATGACGGTAGTGCCTGGGTGAAAGTTATCAAATGACGGTAGTGCCTGGGTGAAAGTCACCTGATGACGGTAGCGCCTTGGTCAAGGTCACCAAATGATGGTTGTAGCTGGGTAAAAGTCATCAAATGACGGTAGTGCCTGGGTGAAGGTCAGCAAATGAGGGTAGTGCCTGGGTGAAGGTCACTAAATGACTGCTGTGCCTGGGTGAAGGTCACTAAATGACGGTTGGCGATCTTCGCTCGTAATCCGAGCTTTAAGTTGTCTGTCTGTATGACTTTAACATTGGAATATACTTTCAGATATTCCATCAGCCGTCAGTGGACCAATCGAAGCCAGCTGTGAGTGTCATGTGATTCGCTTATCAATGAGCACTGTTATATTATGTACAGCACTCGGTGTTTTTATCGTCTGCACATTTTGCACGCTTTTTGTTTTTCACTTGTTTCCAGCTCCTTAGTTTGTGCATCAAGTATTTTGTGGAATTTGTTGTTGTTTTTTTACTACTTGTATACATAGGTTTTGCGTTTGTCTTGATGTAATTCATTGAATGCAATTGTCACTGTTGTCAGTTTAATAAAACTGCAACAATACTCAACTGTGAAATCAAGCTATGACTAATAACTTCTAAGCACAGATGTATGAAAGAAAAAATTAACAGGCAGACGGATGTGAAGGTTCTGCACCTGCCGACACAAAGACAACTTTCTGGTTCTTTGCCCCGTTATAAACTGTATACTAGTGTTTGTGAAAAAGAAGGGTGAGGTGTGCTCCAGGGGCTAAGCTTTGTTTAAGTGTCCAATAATAATAAAAGGAATAATAATAAAAAATAAAATTACTGTTGTTCTTGCTGTTGTAGCTATTATCGTGTTTAAAAGTCTGTGATCTTGTAAAAGTATTTTTTGCTGTTTTATTTTCAGTTTGCCTTGTATTGCATAATTATTAGATATTTTTATAAATATATATAAATATATATATATATATATATATATATATATATATATATACACACACACACACATATAAGACGCTACTATCGTAACTTTCAAAATAATTGTTGTATGAATAATTTGCATACATTCTAATGAGTGTATGTGTTTTTGTAATTATTTTATAAATAAACACACGCTCACGCGTGCCAGGCACACACATCATGTTGAAAATAAGTTAGTTTCTATTTTGCTTTTTATTGTCATTTTTACCAGTAAATTGTCTGGTCTTTGCGTGTGACATTTTCTTTATGTAATTATTAAATATGTTAAGGTGCTCTGTGACAATGTTTGTGTTGCACAAAGCACGAAACCTCGAAGCTTCAGCAGTGATGCTTGGGGATATTATAAACACAATATAGACCCACTGTCTGCCTAAAAGCAGGTCGTAAACGTCGACTAATTGGGAGCTTCCTTCGAAGTCGTACATCTACCTGAGAGGCAAGGAACCAACAGTCTGCATACAAAAAAACTCAGACCTGTGAAACGAATGTACACGCAACATTCAGTCTCTGGAACAGGACTAGAGGCGAGAAGTGGACGAACAACCGGAACCTTTCCTCCGAAGCTTACAGCCGATGAACGCGAAGAAGAAGAAGATAAACACAGTTACCCGTGTATCAGATGATATGGTCCGAGAGTGAATACTTGACCTTCAGAGCGCAAGGCAAGCAACCTGACCTCTTAATTTGTATCTATCGTCATCAGTTCTCGTTATGCCTAGTGGCACATGAGGCTTCAGAGAGGACTTTCCATGCTTTCCTGTCCTGCGCAATCTTCAGTACAGTTTTCCATGTCAAAGGTGCGAACTCAGGTCACTTTCCATCGATCGTCTCCATGTTGTTTTTGGGCGCCCCTGTTTTCTCTTTCCCTCTAGTGTCCATGTGAGAACTGTTTTGCAGGTATATCAGGATTCATTCTCATAACGTGGCCAAGCCATTTTCATCTTCTCTTGGTTATCATATTGCCTAAAGTTTCTTGGTTTGTGACTTGAAGTAGTTTAGTGTTTGAGATTGTATCTGGCCAGAAAATTTTGATAATTCTACGTAGACACGTGTGGTGGAATTCTCCAGCATTCCGCTCCTTAATTTGTATATATATATATATGATATTCATGCTTACCTTCCTGTGCCAAACCAAGTTGTTATTTTAACCCTCAATCTCCACCGACTGTTAATGTAATTCTTGTACCTCACGGTGTGATTATTGTATGTATGTATGTATGTAAGTTTCACCCCCATCAGGTATTCACACAGAGCGATAAACACCCGGTTACACAAAGTGCCACCAAGCGAATGAGGATCACCTGTGGAGAGGTCCCGGAAACCCCGTTCAACCGTTAAGTTATTTTAGGGCTACCAGCAACAGCAGGATGGGCTTCAAAATAACGAAACATTGCGTCCCACAAGTGGATGGCGAATTATAATGTTATTTTTCTAATTCCTTAGGATCAAAATATAAATTAACTAAGGTAACAACTTCTTACGACATAACTAGTGGCACTTCTCTGGGACTCAAAGAGTTGACTACTTCATCTTGGAGACCACCAGGCCATAACCAACCCCCATGCCATACACCCTCTTCCCTGCCCCCCCCCCCCTTTTTTTTTTTTCCCCAACAACATCGTTGGTGGTTTCAGATGGAATGTTGGAAACTAATATTCTTACGTGTTTTGCTTGTCTTTAGCCGGCAGACTTACAATATCATGGTGAACAGGGCAGAGGGTCACTGCATTCTCTAGTGTCAAATTTGCGTATGAAATTAACGCATGTAGAGAGTGTGTGTGTGTATGTGGAGAGGGGGGGGGGAAGTTGTGTCCTTTTTTCTTAAAAATTTTCGACTGAGCTTTATTGCTTATTGTTGTCTGCTTATGAAGTCCTTGTTTCTGCAACGCCCTTTCTTTGTATATTGTAATTTTACTTTTCAATGTTCGCTACATTTTTGTATTTTTAAAATGTTTACATGTTAATGCATTTATTGCAGGTTATTTAGTGTTAGGCTGTTAGTTAGCGTTTGTCGGCGTTTGTTGGCTTAGGCGTTGCGAACGTGCTTCGTAATGCCGGGGTGCCGGGTTCGATCCCAGCTGAGGACGGTTTATCTCCCCTTGCTTTTAACAGTGGTACCGAGAGCAGACCGTCGGTAAGCAATGGCAAATTACTGAACGTAGTATGTACCTAGAACAACCACAATAACTAAAATATACTGGGGTTGGTTCTGCAACGTCCTGTAAAGGATACGCAACTAACAAAAAGTGTTAATTTTATTTTTTTAAAGAATTCCACGCCATTGGGCCTTTTGGGCATATAGGGCTAGACCTATATTTTATAGACCAATTGGCACTCGATGAGTGATATGGTCAACATCATATGGGCCACCTTTACTTCCCATGACTTGACCATTTAAGGCTCAGTCGACCGATGGCATGACACGAATGCAAATGCCACATAGATTGGAAGAAGAAAATTAACTAAAGAGTTTGTTTAGACAAAACATTTCATAAGCTTATCCAAATGAATGAAAACCTGTGTGTCATAGCTTTTTATTTGTCTGGCGGCACGCAATAAGGTTAGTTGCGTATCCTTTACAGGACGTTGCAGAACCAACCCCAACATCCCCTGGCTGTTGTGTGGTTTTTTTTAAGGCAAATTTACGTCCAGTAGTTTGCCATTGCTTTCTGGCGGCATGCAGTAGGTCACCTTTTTAAGACATCATTTGTGTGGCTGTCACAGACCTTTGTGGTGATTACAGGCAACTGTTATTAGACACAATGCGGTGACAAGCGGCCCCTATAGTGAACCAAAGAAGCTCCATCGGTATAACAATTAATCATTTACTCCACAATTAATCATTTACTCCACAATTAATCATTTACTCCACAATTAATCATTTACTCCACAATTAATCATTTACTCCACAATTAATCATTTACTCCACAATTAATCATTTACTCCACAACTAATCATTTACTCCACAACTAATCATTTACTCCACAATTAATCATTTACTCTACAATTAATCATTTACTGCCCGGCGCTCTAGCGTAGTTTGCGCGGTGACCGGGTGACGAACTCCATGTGGTCCGGGTTCACTCCCATGGGTAGGCAGAAAAGCCACATTTCTCCCAGATTTATGGTATTTAAAATGGAATGAAGGCCGAAGGGTAGCGATATCCATAATACCGAGCCTAAGGATTAATAACTCATGGCTTCTGGATACTAAAACAAACAATCATTTACTCGACAGAGAAACTATCGGCAGCTGGAGCATGGGAGAATTGTGGTGTACGGGACATCCATGTCGGTGGTGAGGGAGACCAGTGAGAGATGTCGGAGTGTTCGTCGCTTGCTCCAGAATCATATGGTAACAGTATTTGTAATATGTACTTTCATATTCTTGTCTGCTCTGTGGCTAAATCGATGCGAACGCTTCGTAATGCCGGGATGCCGGGTTCAATCTCAGCTGCGGGCCATGCGCCTTGCGTTGGTTTCGTCAGTGGTATCAGTAAAAAGTAAAAAAAAGGAAAGGACCATTTTCCACGGCGTTAGGCATATAGGGAATATAGGGCTAGACCTATATTTTGATAGACCAATCGGCACACGATGGGTAATGTGGTCAGCATCACGCCGACCGCCTTTACTTTTCCGGGACTGCACCTGGTACCCACTCAAGGCTGGGTCGACCCGGAAACCAAAGTCATTCTTGAAAAAAGTCCTGTTCCGCCAGGGAGCAAACCCACGACCTTCCGATTCGCGACAAGCGTCTATCCTTGGTACCATCGTTCTATCTCTGTCTGGTCTTCCTCTCGCTCTGTGTCCCCTATATTTCTTTAACGTGGCTCTCTCAGACAGCTGGTACTAGGGCATTCTCGAAATATAGCCAAACCATTTCCTCTATCGTTGTTTAATACACTGATTTGGTTCAGTCTTCTGAGTTCTTCATCTTTAATTGAATCTGTTATTGTTACTCTTATTGTTAACTCTTCCAAAACGTTTCTTCTTTGTTGCTATGTTTTTGCTCTCATTAGTTGTTGTTAGACTCCATGTTTGACACTGGTAGCATACGGATACTCTTTTCGAAAGCTTATCTAAAAACCAGTTACAAAAGAATACTGTTCTATTTTGTATGTTAGATGTATTAACATATGCACCGGACTTGGGGAAAAATCAGCTGCATATCGACTATGGTGAAACTATTAGGGTGACTGTAGCCAAGCTAATACAAAGAATTCAATCAAAATGGGAAAGAGGAAAACTTGCACAAAACAACACAACGTTATCTCTCCGTTCCTCGTTTGTGTAGTTCACTTATGTTTGAAAAAGGCTGCCCGGCTGAAAAGTTAACGTTGTGTTGTTTTGTGCACGTTTTCCTCTTTCCCATTTTGTTGAGCTTTTTTAGTCAAATGTCTCTGGAATTCCTTGCATATCGACTACTATGGTGACAGAAAGTGAAAGACGGATTGTCGCAATTTGAAATGAAGCACATGCAGTGCGCTACAGAGAGGAGACGCTGGAGAGTAAATCAGCCTCCTAGCGAGGGAGCATCTACTTGTTTGTGTACTCTTTACAGTCATAGCAGATGCTGTTATTAAAAGCCAGCGGCACAACTCCATAGTCCCTTGGGTCAGACGGATGCCATTATTATTATTATTATTATTATTATTATTATTATTATTATTATTAGGTGAGATATGAAGAGCGAGACTTGTACATGAGCCGAGAATACCAACAAGAACTGCGGCAGCGACTGGCTAATGAAGGAATTTCCACACTACATTTGCCTCATGTGTTTGCAGACGGCATTCATATTGGTGTAAGTTTGATAAGTCGCTTCACATACGCCTATCAGTCTTTATATGTGCCTATTTCATTGCCAGCGTATTTATTCTTTACCAACAGTTGATGACTGTGAATCAGCTTCCATGACGAGACTGCTAGAACAACATGTTAAAAATGTCGTTAACCCCCGTCCCCGTATGGGATGAATGCTTCGTTATTTTGAAGTTCTACCATGGTTGTTGCTAGGGATTCTTATATACCCTAACGGTTGAACGGGGTTTATGAGACCTTTCCACAGGTGGTCCTCGTCAGAATGGTGGCACTTTGTGTTATTGGGTGTTAATCGCTCAGTGTGAGGTCCTAGTGGGGTAAAACGTCAGTAAGTCAGACATGTTAAAAGGGATGTGGCCAGATAAGAGCACAGTGGAGGAAACCAGAAAAGAAAAAAAGATACCAACACAAAACTCATGACTTGAGCCGCTATGCGCTGTGGGATTGAATAATGAGGGGATCCGGGCTAAAAATGAAAGTAGGACATTATACATAACAATGAGAAGGAGACAGTTATCTGGCCATGTGATTAGAAAAGGAGCACTGGAAAATATCGTGACGACTGGAAAGATCACTGGTAGAAGAGGCAGACCAAGAGAAATGATGATGGTTGGCTTTAAAACAGCGGCATGGAGGAATATCATCAGTATAATTGATCCAGAACACCAAAGACTGAATCTGTGGAGACACATGTACGCCTACGCCTGCCGGCGAGGTACTTGATGATGACGATTTTATTACAGAACTGTTATAACTCCCATTTAAGCAGCATCATAGCATTAGTTAAAGCCACTATCATCCCATTCAGTATTATCTTTACCACTAGTGTCGTCACTGTGTCTTTTACCTGCTTTTTTTCCCGAAATCCAGGGTGCTGGAGAACTGGAGAAACTAAACGAAGCCGGTGAATTACGAGGCCTTCTTGATCACTACCAGGTACGTGTAACATTTCTGGACATACTCTACAGTTGTCATTGGCAGTTAGAAATAATTTAGTTATCAGCAATGTTATTATTATATATTGTTACTGACTGTTAGTATTAATTGTTAGGATTCTCCAGGACGAAGTGGTAAGCATTTATGGTGAGCTCTGAAGGTTGTTTGGCTCATTTCTCAAGAGCAAAGGTTTTAAAGATGACTGGAAGTCTGTACTAAAACTACGGAGTTCACGATATTGGCGACTGTGTGATAATGGCCTGCGCAATTAAACCAGTCCTATATTCTTCAAGACACTCCTTTAAAACATTCATTAAAAACCTTTAAAACGCTCATTTATAACAATCCTTGTTATCTGTAAAGACGCAACTAGCTGCTAACAATTCTAAATGTTCTAGCAACAATAACTGATTTTTAACACGCCTACCTTTCTATATTTTCTAATTTCTTTAACTGGACGCTGCTCTATTATTTCACGAAGGATTAAAGAAAGAATGGGCCTCATCACGTGTGATGGACGAACAACATTTTATTGCAGTCATCATCATCATGTAGCAGGTCCTTTACAGAACGTCGCTCTCATCACGGTCTGCCTGAAAGAAACTCGGTCTTTCGCCAGCTCTCCCGTCTCATGTACTTTCATACTCAAGGAGTCACTTATATCCTGTGCCCATCTTCGTGTCAGTCGGCCTCTGTCCTTCCTTCCTGGTACCATGCCTTCTGGTATAATTTTTTTTCAGTCCGTCGTGCTGCTTAATATGACCAAAATATTTCAACTTTCGAGACAGGAAGCTGTTTATTAGCCAATCTTCCTTGATGTTTAGATCTTTCAAGATGTCAATATTTCTCCTCTTCTTTGTCCAAGATATTCTGAGAATCTTTCTATAGCATTTCAGCTCAAAAGACCATATTCTCTTTCTTAAGGACGGGGAGATAGTCCCTGATTCACATTTGTATGTTGTTACAGGGAAGATTCATGTTCTCAAAATTCATATTTTGATCTCTTTGCTTAACCAAAGACTTTTAAGGTTGTTTAATCTTTGCATTGCTATGGCCATCCTCCTTTTAATGTATGTCAAACAATATATATTTTTATTGCAATACTTACATAAATTTAAGTTGAGTAAAATTCAATATTTTCCTACAAATCCATAGTGTATTTAACACCAATACAATTCTATATTTTCTTTCACAAGTCTCATGAATTCAACACGAGTACAATTCTATATTTTCCTGCAACACTAGCTTGTTTTAACCACATTTAGAATTCTATATTTTCCTGCAACACTATCATGTATTTAACACAATTGAAATTCTATATTTGCTTTCAGAAAGTGGTTGTTCGTTTCATGTGTGAGAAATGCGGCGGCTACCGATTCCTGCCTTGTGAGTTTTGCCATGGAAGCAAAAGATCGCTATTGAGGAACCATTTTACTGAGGAATTCTGTGCCCTGAGATGCATGCACTGTGACGAGAACGGGCTCCGAAGATGTGACCTGTGTGCTGATCAGCAAGAATGATTTGTTATAGACTTTATTACTACAGCATAGAGGAAATTATAGATTAAAAACGCATTAAGTATCATACAAATGGGCTGCTGTTCCTTCAGATAATGGTTAAATGACCGAACCAATTCTAGCTTCGGATAAAGTGTTGCTTCTTTGTTATTTAAATAAGAGGACATTATATCCAGACTTCTGCTTCTTCTCCTTTCCCTTCTCTTCCTTCTCCTTCTACTTCTTCTTCTCCCCCTTCTTCTTCTCCCCCTTCTTCTTCTCCCCCTTCTTCTTCTCCCCCTTCTTCTCCCCCTTCTTCTCCCCCTTCTTCTCCCCCTTCTTCTCCCCCTTCTTCTCCCCCTTCTTCTCCCCCTTCTTCTCCCCCTTCTTCTCCCCCTTCTTCTCCCCCTTCTTCTCCCCCTTCTTCTCCCCCTTCTCTTCTTCTCTCCCCCTTCTTCTTCTTCTTCTCCCCCTTCTTTCTTCTTCTCCCCCTTCTTCTTCTTCTCCCCCTTCTTCTTCTTCTCCCCCTTCTTCTCCCCCTTCTTCTCCCCCTTCTTCTTCTTCTTCTTCTTCTTCTTCTTCTTCTTCTTCTTCTTCTCCCCCTTCTTCTTCTTCTTCTTCTTCTTCTTCTTCTTCTTCTTCTTCTTCTTCTTCTTCTTCTTCTTCTTCTTCTTCTTCTTCTTCTTCTTCTTCTTCTTCTTCTTCTTCTTCTTCTTCTCGTCTTCTTCTTCTTCTTCTTCTTCTTCTTCTCTTCTTCTTCTTCTTCTCTTCTTCTTCTTCTTCTTCTTCTTCTTCTTCTTCATTCTTCTTCTTCTTCTTCTTCTTCTTTCTTCTTCTTCTTCTTCTTCTTCTTCTTCTTCTTCTTCTTCTTCTTCTTCTTCTTCTTCTTCTTCTTCTTCTTCTTCTTCTTCTTCTTCTTCTTCTTCTTCTTCTTCTTCTTCTTCTTCTTCTTCTTCTTCTTCTTCTTCTTCTTCTTCTTCCTTCTTCTTCTTCTTCTTCTTCTTCTTCTTTCTTCTTCTTCTTCTTCTTCTTCTTCTTCTTCTTCTTCTTCTTTCTTCTTCTTCTTCTTCTTCTTCTTCTTCTTCTTCTTCTTCTTCTTCTTCTTCTTCTTCTTCTTCTTCTCGTTCTTCTTCTTCTTCTTCTTCTTCTTCTTCTTCTTCTTCTTCTTCTTCTTCTTCTTCTTCTTCTTCTTCTTCTTCTTCTTCTTCTTCTTCTTCTTCTTCTTCTTCTTCTTCTTCTTCTTCTTCTTCTTCTTCTTCTTCTTCTTCTTCTTCTTCTTCTTCTTCTTCTTCTTCTTTCTTCTTCTTCTTCTTCTTCTTCTTCTTCTTCTCTCTTCTTCTTCTTCTTCTTCTTCTTCTTCTTCTTCTTCTTCTTTCTTCTTCTTCTTCTTCTTCTTCTTTCTTCTTCTTCTTCTTCTTCTTCTTCTTCTTCTTCTTCTTCTTCTTCTTCTTCTTCTTCTTCTTCTTCTTCTTCTTCTTCTTCTTCTTCCCTTCTTCTTCTTCTTCTTCTTCTTCTTCTTCTTCTTCTTCTTCTTCTTCTTTCTTCTTCTTCTTCTTCTTCTTCTTCTTCTTCTTCTTCTTCTTCTTCTTTCTTCTTCTTCTTCTTCTTCTTCTTCTTCTTCTTCTTCTTCTTCTTCTTCTTCTTCTTCTTCTTCTTCTTCTTCTTCTTCTTCTTCTTCTTTCTTCTTCTTCTTCTTCTTCTTCTTCTTCTTCTTTCTTCTTCTTCTTTCTTCTTCTTCTTCTTCTTCTTCTTCTTCTTCTTCTTCTTTCTTCTTCTTCTTCTTCTTCTTCTTCTTCTTCTTCTTCTTCTTCTTCTTCTTCTTCTTCTTCTTCTTCTTCTTCTTCTTCTTCTTCTTCTTCTCTTCTTCTTCTTCTTCTTCTTCTTCTTCTTCTTCTTCTTCTTCTTCTTCTTTCTTCTTCTTCTTCTTCTTCTTCTTTCTTCTTCTTCTTCTTCTTCTTCTTCTTCTTCTTCTTCTTCTTCTCTTCTTCTTCTTCTTCTTCTTCTTCTTCTTCTTTCGTTCTTCTTCTTCTTCTTCTTCTTCTTCTTCTTCTTCTTCTTCTTCTTCTTCTTCTTCTTCTTCTTCTTCTTCTTCTTCTCTTCTTCTTCTTCTTCTTCTTCTTCTTCTTCTTCTTCTTCTTCTTCTTCTTCTTCTTCTTCTTCTTCTTCTTCTTCTTCTTCTCTTCTTCTTCTTCTTCTTCTTCTTCTTCTTCTTCTTCTTCTTCTTCTTCTTCTTCTTCTTCTTCTTCTCTTCTTCTTCTTCTTCTTCTTCTTTCTTCTTCTTCTTATCTTCTTCTTCTTTCTTCTTCTTCTTCTTCTTCTTCTTCTTCTTCTTTCTTCTTCTTCTTCTTCTTCTTCTTCTTCTTCTTCTTCTTCTTCTTCTTCTTCTTCTTCTTCTTCTTCTTCTTCTTCTTCTTCTTCTTCTTCTTCTTCTTCTTCTTCTTTCTTCTTCTTCTTCTTCTTCTTCTTCTTCTTCTTCTTCTTCTTCTTCTTCTTTCTTCTTCTTCTTCTTCTTCTTCTTCTTCTTCTTCTTCTTCTTCTTCTTCTTCTTCTTCTTCTTCTTCTTCTTCTTCTTCTTCTTCTTCTTCTTCTTCTTCTTCTTCTTTCTTCTTCTTCTTCTTCTTCTTCTTCTTCTTCTTCTTCTTCTTCTTCTTCTTCTTCTTCTTCTTCTTCTTCTTCTTCTTCTTCTTCTTCTTCTTCTTCTTCTTCCTCTTCTTCTTCGTCTTCATCTCTTCTTCTCCTTCTTCTTTTCCTCCTCCCCCTCCCCCTCCTCTCCTCCTCCTTATCCTCCGGCTTTTTTCTTCTTCTTCCTGCTCATAATCGTTATCTTCTTATGCTTTCGTGGGCAAAGGGAAGGCTGGTACAACGCGTTTTGATTTACAGCTAGCCTGCGATATCTGCGCCTTTAAGCCTAACGCATCCGATTTAAAAAAAAGAAATCCCTAACTGCTCGCCTCTAACGACAAGCACGTAAACAGGCGTGTTTATTAAAAAAAAAAAAAAAACTTTCTGATTGTTTTGTGTCGTGCGCGTATTTTCTTGTACACTTTACAGTTAAATTATATTCTGTACAAAAAACTGTTATACTGTTGTAGCTGGAAGGCTGTCAAACTGGAAGGCTGGACAAACTGATACATCTTTTAGAGATCGTATCAGTCTGATAATGGTGGTCAGACGGTACGGCACTTGATGACGGTAGAAGTTTATAGTTATGATGATAAACAGGTTTTTTTTTTAGGGGGGAGGGGGGAGAGAGAGAATGGGAGGTCAGTACTCACCACAGTGTCTTTAAATATGTGTGAATACTAACTGTAAAAAAAGACTGACTGGACAGATCTTATACATGCAAGCCCAATGACTCTAGTAGCATCTGACCGTCAAACGTGGAGAGAGCTGATCAGTCAGCAGCAACTGGTGACACCCCGACACGCAGTGTTACGGGATGATGATGATGATGATGATGATGATGATGATGAAAGTGTCTGTTACAGTAGAGCTGAAAAGGATTGGGGGGAGGGGGGGGGACGATGTCTTAACAAAGGGGGCAAGTACGGTGTATTGTCAGAAAAAAGCACTGATAATGATGATGATGATGGTGGTGATAACGATGATGAGGAGGATTTCTGTAATATAGTATATCTGATATTTATTTATTAATGTGTTCCAACATTAGTATCGAGAAAGTTCCAATAACGGGGTCGCTAAAACCCTAGTACGTCGACATGAAGGCAGTGGAGCGGCATTACTGGGGGCAGGATTTGGGGGGGGGGGGGCAAATTTTTTTTTTTTTTTTTTTTGATACTGTATTCTCGTAAAAAAAAAAAAAAAAAAAAAAAAAAAAGAGGGGGCGGGGGGGGACGAGCTGGCTGTGAGGGCAGCAAATATTTCGCAGGTGGGGGTTCTCTCTAAAAACAGTTTTTTTTTTTTTTGACCGCCTCAAACTGTCCTAATACCACGGTTTTTGGCAATGCCCGAAGCATCGTTAGCAGGCACTTTCTGTAACAGTCCCAGTTTGAAAAGGGTAGCTCTTGGCTTGTGTTTCTCACATCAACACGGGAACACATTGATACATTACTCTTTAAGCAAAGGGATCTTCGTTGTCTGTTTTCCCTGCTTTGAAGCTTTTTATGCAGAACACTGAAATATGGGAATTAAGGGGGTGGGAGCGGTGGTGGTGGAAGTGGCTGAACTTTTTTTTTTTTTTTTTTTTTTTTTCAATATACCTGGCAAATTTTGTTGTTGTTGCTTTGATTCTTATCTGGGTAAGTAGAATTTCTGATAAGGAAAGCCATACCCCACCCCCCCCCCCTCCGCACCCACCCCCACAACCACACATAGTTTTTTTTTAAGTATTTATTTAGGTTTAGAATTAGTTCACTGTCCTAAACAGGTAGTAGCAGCAAAGGACACCAGCTTTTTTTGGGCTCTCTGTGATTTTACTAGACTATTTTACGTTCAGTACTGGAACCCACGGGGGCGTAGAAATAATGGAAAACAGAAAATTAAAAAAACAAAACATGGACAAGGTAGCTAGAAAGGAAAGAAAACTATGGGGAGGACATAGGAAACCTGCATGCGATAGCGAAGGGTAGAAGGTCTTGGCATGAGTTGGTTGAGGACCTGTGCTCCATTGGGAGTTAAAAGGCATAAGAGAAAAAGAGAGGTTGTCATTGCCAGCACCAGATAACACTGTTGAATCAAACGCAAAGCGTTCTGCTGCTACATCGCCCGCATTTGGGATCGAACCCAGCACCTCAGAGTTACGAAGAGCGTTCGCAACGCCTAAGCCACAGATGTTTCTGTACGCTTTATATTAATTCAAATATATTATTTTATGTATTTACCATTCAGAACTTTATTATTATTATTACACGTGTAAACATGACTTAGCCACTTTGAGTCCAACAATATAAATGTGTAAGTGGTTAAGATCCAAAGTATCCCTACCGGTGACCTTCCCAGTGAAGCTTTCCACTCTGCTCAAAGCATCCGTGTCTTCACCTTACAATTACGACATGTGTATGCAT